GTGTGTATCAATTATATCACCCAACTTGCACCATAATCATTATAATGTAATAAAATATCATGGTCTTCATAATTGTGTAGTCTCGCTGACCTTGAAAAAATCAGTCATAAGTTGGTCATAATATAATTTATGTCATAGCATAAAATCAATTAAAAAACAATGCCAATGATAATAAGCTGTTTAATCGTTTGTCTCACAATGTAGTCACTTGAGATGTAGATCATAACATTTTGACTGCTTATTGCTAGTCTTCATCAGGCAATGGGGTTGACTGCTCATGTGTTACCATTTGTATCATGACAATTTGATGCAATTGGTGGATTTTGATCCCCATTGTTCCAGTGAGTTCTGGTTTTCTGAGAGATCTGACTCCAAGTTGTTTTCTTGGTGGTTTGCTGTGGTACCAGTCTCCTGCTGTGTTCCTTGATTGTTGGTATCCACGCTTCAGGAATTTCAATTCCGTTGTCCTTGTTACTGTTATTGAGGTAAAGTCTTGCGTGGATAGCTTCCTTGTGGTGTACCAGTGCAAGTCTCGATCAATAAATTTCACTTTGTTCCAAAGTGGATGGTGGCCATTCTTGATGGCATGCTCACAAATGGTAGAGGTCTGGGTACAGGCTAAAAGTATATCCCTCTCATGTTTTTTCATCCTCTCTTGCATAGGTCTTCCTGTTTCACCAACATAGATTTTACTGCACTCACAGGGAATTCTGTAAAACATGCTGTCCTGTCTAGCTAGATTGACAGTGTCCTTTGGCTGTACCAAATGTGATCTAAGTGTCATGTCAGATTTGAATACTGCACAGATGCCTTGTTGCTGCAGGCAAGGGCAAAAAGGCTCTGATACACCTTTTACAAAGGGCAAAACCACTGTAAACTTGAACAGCATCACAGGGTCTCTGCTTGGGGAGGAGTTTCTTGTCTTCGTAACCTTCTGTACAAAGGAAGAGGGATAACCATTGGAAACAAGAACTGATTCCTAGAGATGATTGATGGTTTTGTCATGAGATGCTTCCCCTGGTCAGACAAACACTTAACAATACTGCGCTTTACTGATTGAGGATGGTGTGAATCATATGCTAAGTGCTGAAAAGTGTGAGTGAATTTTTTGTGGACACTGGTGGTCAGGCATCTGTCTGGTTTCCTCATAACTGACATGTAGAGAAAGGTGATCTTGTTGTCTTTCTCAGTTTTCAAGGTGACTTGGATGGTAGGTTGTTGACTGTTTAGATACTGTAAGAAACAGTCAACATAACTGCAATCCAGGATGGTGAAGGTGTCATCAATGTAGTGGTTCTAGATCTTGGGTTTCTGTGTTGCAGATTCTACTGCTTGTTTTTCAAATACCTCAAAGAAAGGATTGAATTTTGCTGAAAGAACAGGAGACGGATAGATGTTTAGCATGTACCCAGACCACCCCTGTTTCTGAGCAAGCCCACAAGACCAGCCACCACCTGATTTGGAATGAAGTAAAGTTACTGATTGAGACTTACATTGTTACACCAGAAGAGTCAAGGAAGCTATCCACAAAAGACTTCAACCTGATAATATCAACAGGGATAGTGGAATTGAAATTCCTGAAGCTGGAAAACCAGAACTCACTGGAACAATGGGGATCACAATCTGGCAATGGCATTAGATCGCCATGATACAAATGGTAACCTGCGAGCAGTCCACCCCATCACCTGATGAAGACTAGCAGTAAGCAGTCAAAATGTCGCAACCTACATCTTAAGCGACCACAAACTGTGAGTCAAACAAGAAAACAGTTTATCATGACTTACCATCACAATGAACAATAACATCGGTTTTGATATCAATAATGTAAATACAGAGATAACACAATTTTCAGTCATTATCTTTTTCAATTGTAGTACATTGATATACCTTCTTTCCCTCACTATCAACACCTTTGCCTTCTTCCTCCACATGAAAACGTAAGTTTTCCAACAAAATCACTGAACCTAATAAAGGTAGGACCAGATCTGATCACAAAAACTAAATATACACAAGTAAGATTAGTAAAGGACTGGAAAATATAAAATTGGTCTGTAAAAACAGTGCTTTATATAAGATTTGAAGAAGGTGGCTACCTCAATAAAGCACTCGCCAGATAATAATGTAAAAAAAAATTTCCCTTTTGTCATCCCAATACCTCCATTCACAATAGACTGGCTTCAAACTAAGTTTTTCATGTCAAACTTCTGTAGATGATCATTAAGTATTTGTCTCCTTTGTAACAATTGTTTAGCTGATGATTTTATTTCCAATCAAAATCTTCCATTAGCTGACATGCAAATCTGCTCCTTGAGTTTCACACAAAAGTCCTCTGAAAGGACACAAGGTTACTGAAATTTGAGTCAGTATGTTTATGGAAAATCAAAATTTCTTTTCACTAGAAATTTGTGCTGGAATGTATAAGACAATGTAAACCAATTTTATTAAAATTTGTATGTGAAGGTAAAAGTGGACTGAAAGAACTCAAGAAAATCTTGAGGTGTTTTAGGTCTCACTTCATAAGTTTGCTTGAAAGCTTCTAAAGCATACCAAGGAATTCACAACAGAATACCCACTGGAGCTCTGGCAAGTGCCAGCTCTTATTGAAAGCACTGAAAAAAAGAGGCACCACACAATGACCCACAGTTACTTAAGATTTGTAAATCAAATAAAGGAGCATTTTCGTGCACACTACACCCTTCAAGCATAAGGAAAAGTGTTTATTCACCCAAAATACATATAAATACAGTCATGTTAGTAAATTAATCAATTCACTAGTTCCATTTCATGACTCCCTCGCTATTTTGCTACAGCCAGCTATTCAGCCCTAAATTTTTTACTTCATTTAAACCATCATAATAATACACAAACAGACAAAAAACGATGCTATTATATAAGATGATTATAATACATTGCAAAACTACAATCATCTAATAACTAAAAGTCAAGAGAAAGTTAAATAATACCAGGACTAGGGTTTTCACAGGCTTTTTCCACCACTGGTCCCACACAGTCTGACAGAAACTTCACATCTCTAAAAAAAATACATCACTCAATAATATTTATCATCAGTATCAAATTTCTCAGTTAATTATTGCATTACCTTGTTTTCTTCAGGAGAATTACACATACCAGACACATATAACAAAGTGTATTTTTTTATATTTAAATTTTATGAGATAAAAAAAATTTTCAAGCCAGTTTGATCTTTAATCACCTTGGTGCCAGAGGCTGATAAGGATCACAAGATAAAGAAAAATAAAAATTACTCTAAAGCCAAAGAAAATATTTAAACACAATGCATAATATTCACTCACACTATACCACTAATATCATGTGATACTGACAATATTATCATAGACTTCAAATCCTTTTTGGTTTGTGATTAGTGACAACAATTTAGTTGTGATCTTAAGTGGGATGTACACATAGAGGAGTTAGTGAAGACTGTAGCCACATGAGCTAATGCTGTTTTATGTTACACATATACATTCAATCCTTAGTCAATAATCAATAGCCTCCCTTAGTCAATCTGTTCTATGTACTCTTTTTCAATGGAGAAAAGCGATGACAAATTTCAGAATGTTTGACAAGGTTACTGCTGATTCACAGCATAGATTCCACAAGCTTCTCCTTGCTTGAAACATATTTGCCACAATTTGCTTGGGAATTTGTAAAAGTTTGTTCCCACTCCTTGCAAGACTGAATGTTGCAGGAAGAGTTTCATCATGAGATTAGCCTACATATATATTAAGATATTTTATTGTCACTATAAACAGAATTCAGCCTTTTGCTGTAATGTTTTGGTTAATTTTAGTATCTATTGTTTCAGTTTATCACCTACAGATACCTTTATCACTGCATTCCCAAATTTTTTGTTCTGTGTTCATGACTCAGACTAAAATTCCATTTAATGATTACTAAAAATCATAAATTAGCATGCTCTAAATATAGCGTTTACATACTTGTTCAACAGTTTCTTCAGTTCATCAGCAACAGGGGCTAAGGAATACTTTCCTTCTCTTTTACCATCAGGACGTCCCAGGTGACTCATCAATACTACACTCTTAGCTTCATGCTCCAAGCAATGTTGGATGGAGGGCAAAGCAGCCACAATACTTGAAGAATAACAAACATCTCGTTGACTCATATGAAAGGTACCCTGGTAAAATTTCCGCACAGCCCCATACTACATTATGCATTCAGTTCTCGACTAGAGAAAACAATAAAAAAAAAAACAATATAATTCCATTGGGAGAACAGATTTGTTTTGACAATAGTATGGGGCTGTACGGAAACTTTACCGGTAGCTGTGCGGAAACTTTACCGGTACCCTTCCCTTCCACCGCCCTCTAACTCGACTCTCCACAGATTGAGCTAGAAAGGTGGAAGATATCACGTTAACTTAACTTACAAAAATGATCACAAAGCCTCGATTTCCAAAAATTATGTTAGATTAACAGGGTTTCTTACGCGTCTTTGATCGCACTGTATACTTAATATGTAATGATGGGGTGGGGGGGTGCTCGTAAATTACACTTTGCATTCAGTTCATGAGTCAGTGCACGATCTCTCATACCGTTGGTTGTTCGTGATATCCTTGTCTTTTAAGGGTACATTGAAGTCCACTCTGTAAAATAAAAGAGTTTGTGAGTATTTTAACCGGGGACAGCAATATTACACTCTTGCACTGAACTCAGGAACATACAATATAGTGGGTACTGGCAACATGGCACTACTCAGATAGCTTACCTCATCAAAACACGCTTTCCCTTGAAATCCACTGAGCGAATACTCAATTTTTCAAGAGACATCATGATTTTTTGGACAACTTAAAACAGAAGGGGAAGAGATTGAAAAAAATCTTGTGATCACCTTCTGATGATGATTGTTTACGACCTACCAGTGGTATGACACAAGGTCTCTCCCTCCCCCACTCTCCCTCTTTCTATCCCTCTCTCACTTGATAATTCATGTAGATCTAAACGAACTGTCCACGACTTGATCCAAAGCAGAAATGGCGGCTGCCTTTAGCTTCGTAAATAACGTGAATCGCATTTCTGCTCGTTATTTACCGCTCTATTTGCTCAATTTTAGATATCTCCACAAAATATGTCCGCGAAATAGCAATCTGATTGCCAACAAACGTCCGAAGCACAGATTGCAGCTCGTTCAATCACAAAATTGTGTAGGTAAGGTGGATGAGTACTCATTTGCACGTGTTTGGGGTTTTTCCTTCCCCCTTTCCGTCATCGGTTTACTAATCGACAAATTGATGATGAGATGAGTAAGCTTACAGTATAATTCGAGCCTCATTTAGTGAATAAGAGAATAGCAAAGGTACTACAAAGTTTTAAACATGCAATTTCGAGATTGTGGCATGGGTATCACTTCAGATGCAGGATATTGAATTTAGAGCAATCATCAAAATTTTTTTTTCCAGAATAACAATTTAGCCATCATTAAATCAGAGGGAAACTAGTAAAAATTCTCTAAGAATAGTGACCATAAAAAAGTAGAAATTTTGGCGTTTTTACTCATTTCAAGTATTTCTTACCTTTTAACTCCTATGAGTGACCAAGACAGAATTTTCCTAACAATGTCAGTCCAACATTAAGCAATAAGTAATGAAAGAAAAGAAACATGTCAATAGGGGATTGATGATTGATTCAAGAACAATTTCTCTTGGCTAACATTAAAATTGTATGGCAAACAGAAGGGAGATTTACTTATGAGATGTGAGAATGAAAGGGGGTAATGTAATATATTCCAAACCAAAAAAGGAATGCAAGAGTCAATGACCTTGAAAATCGTGATTGAAACAATAATTTTTTCAATGAAATGAATTGCTCAGGCCTCTAGAGCCTTAGGATGTTCTGCAAATTCTGCTGGTCAAACAAATTTGTTTAGATGAAGGTTGCTCAAGAACTCTGCTTTTTAATTAATGGTTTTAGGCTAGTGATTTTTTATGATATGGTCAATCACTCTAAACTCTTTGATCTTTTATTTCATATTTTTTATGTGCAAATTTCAAACTATTCTAATCTGGTAATAATGAAAAATATGTAGAGAATAAAGATCAAAGAAAACCTGTTTGAAAACCTGTAGGCCAAGGAAAAGTTTGAACTACAACATACAAAATAATATAGATAACTGTATTTCTCTGGAAGTAAGAGCTAACAATCCAGAGAGACTTTTTTTATCAGACAGGTATTTGGTGGATAAACCAATGTTATACTTCCCTACGTCTAATAATTTAGATGTTACTTAAGAACCCTTAATATTTCAAAAGGAAAAGGTTTTTGCATTTGTATGCCAATAGTTATTTCCTGCAATGGTGTGTCAAAAGTGTTTGTTTTTTCTTCTGGTCCCACTACTTTTTTTTTTGTTTAGGGAAGTAGCCATGTTAGTACACATATGATTGTTCCAATATGATCTCATGCTAATATTTTTATGTCTTGGATACTAAAGAAAATTTCTGCAGCTAACATATACACTATTAAAAATGTATACAATCAACCTCACACACAAGAAAAACTTTCCCAAAAAAACATTTGTGTCACTTTCATTCCCTGAACAAATTTGCTCAAAAGACAGTAGAACACTGTATGTATTTTTTAACTTGAACACAGTTATGCCACTTTCAATTACTTGCCTTTGTTGACAGAAGCATCACCATAATTACCACAGGTCAGGAAAAAGTCGGGGAAAAATAAAATTCTTCGAAATCAGGGAAAAGTCTGAGAATTCTACTTTGAGTCGGACAATATCTTTAAAAGAAGTCAGAGGAAGTGAAACTTCAAGTAAATATGAAGTCATTCATGTTGTCTTAGCCCTCTTCATGATGAAGAATAATTTTATACACTATATCTACACAGGCAGCCATTTAGTGTCTGTTGTAAGGATAATTCCATGTACCCAGTGTTTTTCGCATAAGGGAACCTTAAGAAAAGGGAAATTTGTTATTGTTCAGTGTTTGTTATTTTTATTGTCTTTCTAGGGTTTAGAGGTCCCCATGTGAGGCTCTACCCAAAGATTTCCTGCAGAGCTTTTTCAGAAAATCCTACTGATAAAGATAATTTTTCAAAGGTGCTAAAAAACAATATCAATGTATGGTTTAGCATTTTTCATGGTATTATATAACACTATTATTTAATTCAGGTTTTGTATTATAGATTGTGAACTGAATTATGAATCATCATTACAAAATCATATTTTTTTAATCTAAGGAAGAAGATTTTGAAGAAGGTGATACTGTACATGTTATAAGGGAAAATGAAAGAATTATTGGTAAGTTGAAACTATATCATAAATAATGGATAGTAAAAATTTAGGAGTAATAATTTATTCACAGAGATAACTGAATTGTTTGGTTAAATTCTTTGTAAAACAGATGCATTATATATATTACTTGTAGTGTCATAGACCAAGAAATGTTCATGTTATGTACTAGATGGTTCTCAGCGTGCAAAAATAGTTACAAGCCTGGAAGAATATACATGTATGGGTGCTTCCATATAAGAAGACATAGTTTAGTATTGATTTGTTATCTGACTCGTTTTAGAGAAAATAAAACTAAGCATGTAAATGTTGCATTTCAGTGGTCCTTGTTGATATATGTGGTATTTCTTGATCCTTGCTAATAAAATTCAGCATGCTCTTACTTTTATTTTGAGTTACCCACATGGACCAATAGGCTGATCTGGATCTCAACCTACAAATCAACTCAAGTTAAATTTGACTCAGTTTTAAATTCTGTCATTGGTGCATTGACTGGGTATTGTACATATGTCCAGTATTATTTATAGAACTGATTAATTTAACATGAAGAGTGATATTTGAGAAACCTTTTTTGAAAACCTGTTCCATCCATAAATGGCTGAAGATATGAAATCACTTTAAAATATCCCAAAACATCCCAGTTCAAACAAGTTTGCCACCATCGTTCAAGCTCTCTCAGAAGGAACCAGAGTTTGTTAAAAAGCAATTAAAGTCTCTAAAAGTGAAAAAATCAACAGGCATCCCAGGATTACCAGCATGACTTCAAAAGGATGGTTCAGATGCAATATCTGAGCCCCTTACCTTGCTTATGAACAGATCTTTACGTGAAGGCTATGTATCAGATGAATGGAAGCACACCCTTGTAACACCCATACATAAGGCTGGAAGTAAAAGTGATCTGTCTAACTATAGACCCATATCTGTTCTGCCTGTATTCTCCAAGATCCTTGAAAGAGGGATACACAAAATGGTTTATGACCATCTACAGCTCAACAACTTGCTGTCTCCTTCACAGTCTGGCTTTTGCCCTCTCCACAGCACTTCAACCTGCTTGACCCATGTAACTAACACCCTTTTACAGAATATCGAAAAAGGATTGTTGACTGGACTAGTATTTTTAGATCTTAGCAAGGCTTTTGACACTCAACCACTACCTTCTTTTAGATAAATTAGTGCAGTCCTTTGGTTTTTCTACCTCTGCCAGACAATGGTTTTTCTCATACTTAACCAATTGTTCTCAAAGTGTTTGTGTTAATGGGATAGTTTCAGATCCTCAAAAAGTTGATTTTGGAGTCCTCCAGGACTTTGGGGCTTTAGGGCCCCTTCTCTTTATAATGTATATTAATGACATATCCCATGTTGTTAGATATTCTAATGTTGAGCAATATGTTGATGATACGCTTCTTTACTTTCGTCTATATTAGGAATGTTGCGTAGAGCACGAAAGATCTTGCCTCAGTCATCCTGTATCATTTTGTACAACACAATGATACTCCCCCTTTTTGACTATTGCTCAGTTGTATGGGATAGTTGTGGGGCTATATCTAAAGGGTATCTTGATAAGCTTAATGGGCGTACGGCGAGTATTATCTTAAATAGGGCTGTGAGTGAAACAGATATTGTTTGTATTCTTGGTTGGCCTAGCCTTCAGTCTCATAGAGACTATCTTAAATGCATGCTGGTTGTCAAATCTATGAACGGCTTAGCACCTTCCTACCTATTGAGTGATTTTACTCAAGCTAAGAAATATAATACCAGGCACTGGGATTTGATTCGTCTTCCTTTGGCCAAAAGCACTAAATATCAAGGCAGTTTTAGATATAATGGTGGGTGCACTTTTAATAATCTGCCCAAAGCAATAAGATTGCTGGAAAGCCTTAAAACTTTTAAAACTGAGTGTAAGCGGTTTTTTAAACAGATTTAATTAGTTATGTAGACTTTGTATGTATTTTCTCTAATGAGTTTTACTTTTGTCTGTCAATTTTATGCGTAACTTTGTATTGTCAAATTTTGTTTTTGCAGGGCTCTCTTTAAACTAGCTATGCTAAATGTGATGTTCATGTTTAAATATTGATTAAGTAAATAACTAAATAAACTTATTAGTTTAAGAATGACAATTGGATTTTATTGCTTGTAAGCCAGTTTTTCTTTCATAAGTTTTGTAGCAGAGGCTAAAATGTTTAGTCGTTAATTGCTTGATCAAACAGAATCAAAACAAAAACCGGTTCTGCTCAGAGCAGGCACATATACAGTTTTGTGGAAAGTTTTTAGCATATGGAACTACTAAATTAAATTTAATAAAAAAAAAATTGTATGTTTTCATGTCTAGGTGAAACCCAAAGGCATGACTTTCAAGCAGAAACCAGACAGTTATTGGATATTGTAGCCAAGACACTCTATTCAGAGAAAGAGGTGTGTGTAGAGAAACAACACTCTTTTACATGAAAATTACCAACTGTTACAAATTTATTTTTAACAACTTTTACAAATCATGCTCTTCATAATTAAAATTATGGAAGAGATAATTGTACAAATGTACAAATGTACATGTATGGTACTTAAACTAATACACTGAAACCTTCCTGACACAAGATTTACACAATTTACAAAATGATATATATTTTGTTCGCTCTCTGCAATTTGATAATCTTAATAGAGGAAATGATAAATTTACCCTAGGCACATTTGGATACTGTTTACTCAAGGATTAAAATTCTAGCAATGATGTTAGGTTATAAATTATAAGTAACTTACTTTCTTAACCTGTAATAGTGTAGTTTGATTGTCCGGGTGAGTGTAGTCCTTAGAAGGACTGTTGTCAGTAGTGGTGACTGACGTTTCGACAACCTGAGCAGAAGTCATCATCAGAGTCAAGTGAAAGGTTGTTGTCAGTCGAATGTACTTAGTCCGGTTTGTGTACACTGATTGGTCAGTTTTGCTGTGATGTTATTGGCTTTAAGACTCAAGTGGCGTAGGTCAGTCGTGATTGGTCGGTTTGCCGATCCGTTAGTGAAGTTAGGTCATTATGTTCGGTTTGTTTGTAATGTTAATGTTGTGGATGAGTTGTTTGTATGGTGCTGGTAGTGGTTGACACCTGTTGAGGGGAGTCTGTTCCAAGTTAGTAAACCAGCTTTCCAGGGTCAGTCGTTGAAAGTAGTTGGTGCTGTAGGTTAGGCATTGCGCAGAGTCCCAGTCAATAGTGTGGTTCGTAAGTCAGTGATGTTCAGCAATGTGATTGTTGACATCGCCTTTCCTCGTCACTCGTTTGTGTTCAGTCAGTCTAGTTGTGAGGTTTCTGCCAGTCTCACTGATGCAGGAGGCGTGGCGGTTGGAGCAATTGATCTTATATACTGCTCCTTGTCTGTTCCTCGGTTCGTCTCTGTCTTTGATGTTAGTCAGTAACTGATGTAGTGTGGTAATAGGTTTGTGAGTGATGCGTATATTGAATGGTTGTAGGATGCGTGAGATGTTCTCAGATATGCCCTTTATGTATGGTATAGTGGCTGTAGTCATAGTTGTGTTGTCGTTAGCTTCGGTAGTAGTAGTAGGTCTGTGAGTGTTATGTTGAATGAAGTCTTCGTTGTACAAACGACTCATACACGACATCAAACTACACTATTACATGCTACCCCCGGGTTCAAACCATTTACTGTATTTCTTAACCTGGTGGAGTGCTTTCACGTCTTGCTCTGCCTTCTGTCATTGACACAGGACAAAGATGTAACAGTGACCATTACACAAACACCTTTACCCTCCTTAAAAAAGGCTCACACCTTACCTGAGCATCATTTGCCTATGTTCTCTTAATTGATCATAAACTATATCCATAGCAATTTTTATTCACCATAGGTTTTTATTCGTGAAATGATTTCCAATGCATCTGATGCACTGGAAAAACTGCAATACCAGTTCTTGACTGGAAAAGGTGTATTGGAAAATGAACTTCCTCTTGAAATAAACATTGCAACAGATCAAGATAAAAGAACTCTGACAATCCAGGATCATGGCATAGGAATGACAAAAGAAGAATTGTTAGATAATTTGGGTACTATTGCTAGGTCTGGATCCAAAGCTTTCCTTGAGGAACTGGGTAAACTGGGACAAGGAGATTCACGGGGAAAAAGCATCATTGGACAGTTTGGTGTGGGCTTCTATTCTTCATTCATGGTGGCTGACAGAGTTGATGTGTTCACTCGTTCTTTTTCTCCTGACAGTAAAGGATTCTTATGGACTTCCAATGGGTAACAAAATATTAATGATAGACACTCCAATTTTTGCTCTCAATCAAATTCCATTTCTGTAGTCATATTTTCCCATCCATTAGATTTAACTGATATGTCAAAAATTGCATGGGACTTCAACCCTTTTAATCATTTTATCACTTATCCTATTAATCATTTTTCTCCCTTTGTTTGTCTCCATTGGACCATGTACAATGATTCAGAAGTAGTTACCTACTGCTTCACTAAGTTTATTCTGTTGATGCAAAAGGTATAATTATTGTGTATTGCACAATAATGCTGTCAAGTTAAACAGATTTTTTTTAATTAAACACACCTTTCTTTTGACTATTTCTTTCTTTGGGAATTAAACAAAATCATTGTGAAATTTAAGTCATTCCCAATTGTTTCATGTATGGAAAATGTTAAAGAGTCTCTTGTAAAGAGATTAAGAATGGATGTGGCATGAAACCTTGTATATATTCATGTAAATAGGATAAAACACACCAAGCTTTTAATGAATGAGTTGCCAGTAATCAGATCCTTGTGTTTCTGCAAAGATTTCTGGGATCGCCATGGGGCAAACATTTCAACTTGCTTAAAAGAAGGATAGTAAAAGGTAGTTTTGACATCCAAGAAAACGAATTTGGTGAGATATCTGTTTTATCAGAAATGGATTTGGGTAATGTTGATGGGAGGGAAGCACAAGGTTTTTTTTTTCCACAACCTTGAAAAATTTAATAAAATCTAGCTATATCTAGCAAGTGTTATGGTGAAATTGACATTTTGTAATGATCTACAGCGTAGAAATATTAGCTATAAATGGCCAAGAAATAACTCAGTAAAGCCTTTTCAGTTTTGTTTACATCTGTCAGTTTTATTTACAGAAGTCTACTTCTATCTTTATTCTTGGCTTGATAATACATGGTGTGCTTGAGCATTAAATATTATTATGATATGGTTTATGGTCAAGTCGCCCGGAAGTCATTTCACCTGATGTCGTGTCATCCAAAATTTTAGTCAAGTTACCCAAATTTTATTTTAACACTTGTAAACACCCAAAGTGGCACTTTTTAGAAAGTGCTGAAGGTACCAATCAATTTAAAAACCTTTTTGGTGTATTTACTTTTGTTATTAATCCTTCAATCAAACCTTTAAATTTCTCTTTAAACACAAATGTTCAAGGTCCCCAAGAACTCTAATTGAAAAACATTTTAAGGGAGACAGATGTAACCAACATAAACAGTATTTCTGTAATTCAACCTATGATAGCATAGTAGAAAAGTGTTTAACTAGCGACAACTACCCCTAACAAACTAATTGCAAAACTAGTGAGATAAATCCTAAAGTGATCCTTCAGTGAACTAACTCCTAACTAAAAAATAAACTTAACCAAATAATTGGTACGGATTGGTCCATGTGTCAAGTGGGAGAAAGCTTTTAGTGGTCTTCTTGTTGAAATTTTATCCAATGCATAATCTTCTTAAGCTAATGAAATATTTTTGCTTATCTGATCTTTTAAGTATTTGTTTGCTTGGGCAACTTGCCTTTTTTGGGGGCAACATGACTTTGGGCAGGATGACTTTCAGGCAACTTTCACTCCATACTTCCATCTAACAACTTGCAATGTTTTCCCCTGTGGCAATCCCAAAAATCTTTGCACAAACACTAGGATCCAGTTACTGGCAACTTATTCATTAGTCCAGTTTATGTGAAAACATATGTAACAATTCGTTATTTGAGTTTTCAGGTCTGGTTCATTTGAGATTGCTGAGGCAGGGAATGTAACTCGAGGCACAAAAGTGGTCATGCATCTCAAGGATGATTTTAAAAAGTTTTCAATCAAAACAACAGTTGAAGGTTGGTGTGCTAAACTCTTCACAGTGAGCAATCTTGTTTTTAATGACATTCTTGAAAAAAGCATGAGGCGCTAATGATGTTAAAAATAGTTTTAAAATAATACACTATTCAAGACTTACATGGAGGTGTTTTTTGTTGTTAGTTGCAGCACAGCAGTCAAATGATATGCCAAATTTGAAATCTATGACCATGCACAAAATTCATGCACAGGATATTGTATATATCAATGCTTATCATTTCCTCTCACAGATATTATAAAAAAGTATAGCAACTTTGTGGGTTTCCCTATATATTTGGATGGCACATGCATCAATACAATTCAGGTATGTTGAAATTATTTGGTTTTTTCTTTCATTTTGTTTTAGTAACTCTATTTTTTCGTTTATGATAGTAAGGGATGTAATATGTAGAGGTAATCACATTATTTAGAATGCAATTTGAGATAAATCAGCATGAGTAGATTTTCCAAAGACTAACCATATTGCACGAGCTTGTGAGGGATGCTGATTTATCCCAAATTGCACTCGAAATCATGCAATTCCTAGTGATTAATATACCAGGAAAATATGACTAGAGCTGTTTTCCTTTTAGTTGTCTCTATTTCATGCCATGGCTCACCAGTTACACTGCTTACCTTTGCCTTGTTGCTGGAGTACGGTATTTACTCGTGTACAAGTCGAACTCGTGTATAAGTCGACCCCCATTTTTAAGTTAAAAAATCGGGTTTTTCATCATTTCTAGTCAAAGAAGTAAAATTCAGACAGATAGAAATTTCCCAAAAGTTAATCTCTCATTTCTGGGAATGTATTGAAAACACGGGGAATTAAAAAACTGCAGAGCAAAATGTAACCAAGTTCTTTGAAGTTTATCAGCAATTATTTATATCACCACGATTTAAGCACACACGAACACTTCGATTTATCGGAGAAGTATTTTACCATATTTTGTAAACCACATTGAAAATGAAATCTTCTTGCATTTTAACAAACCTTTATCTTAATGTTGAGTTTGAAAGGAGATTAATTTAAGTAAACCGAAGGAACACCGAATAGCTTCGAAGGATCGCGCGCAACAAGCAAGACCGCGCGAGACAACGACATTTGCCAGGTTACTAAGCTACTGGAATCATTCGAAGAAATCAAAAGTTCAGTACTGCAAACAACTGCAAAGCTGTGAGAAAAAATGTCTGTTCTACAACCCAAAGACGCAGTATAAATCAGTTCTAGTAGCTTTGTGTTAAGCCACTCAAAATATATTATTTCAAACTCTTTTTGTGGACGAAGAATGCGCTGAAAAGTGACGAAACTCGAACACAATTCGTACTGGTTTTATAATCTCGATTTTCCTTGCGGACTTCAGGCAATTGTTATGCTAATTTCTTGGGCTGCTTGGGTCAGGTCTTTGTGTATGACTCGTGTTTAAGTCGAGGGTTTTTTTTGGGCTGAGTTTTTGGTCCTAAAAGATCGACTTATACACGAGTAAATACAGTAGTCTAGCTTTTTCCTTAAGAATTTGCTGCCAACTTTTAAAACCTTTCTCAAGAATGATTGAGCGTTTGTATTCTTTCTCTGTTGGGTGTCGGTCAACAGCAGTAACCATCGCACAAAAGCTATCACACTCATAACCTTCCACATCTTTCATACCAAATGTGGAATCAAAGTCAGGGCCTCCAGCTCATACCCTCATGTCTGTCTGTAGAAGGCAGACTTCTTGCCAGTTTTTCCTTTGTTAGGTGTTTTCTCCCATGAACTCTGAATTAAAAGTCACTACTTTCTACTCACCTGTCTGCCATTTTTTTGTTGTGCTTTTGCAACTTAGTAATCAATTCAATCAATTTAATTTTTAACTTCCTGCACTCAAATTTAACTTTCTGCACTGTTTTGGATTGACTTGTTTTCAGTCAATGAGTGTGCTTAAATTTTATGTGCATGTGTACATGTATTGTTAGGTACATGTAGGTGTACATGTATCTTGAAACCTCATTTTCTGTCAGTTGTTATTAGGCCCATGGTTCACTTTTAGTGCCACAGCTAAAGCTTTAATTTATTGGAAGGTGATGTTCTCACCAGATAATTGAGTAATTAAGATACAGTGAGGTGGTTCCAAGAAGCTTTTGATTAAATATAAAGGTATCACCAAGTCTCTGGCACGCTTAGTTGTAATTGTAATCACTTTTTCTTATTAATAATAAAATTTACTTCCATTTATGGTGGGTTGTGTGAGCATGAACCCATATTTCAGTAAAAGGCTATTCATACATGATGGCATTTGAATCACTTCCTAAGAGTGCTGTCATCTATGTATCCCATCCTTGAGGTAATAAAAAAGTATATTGAGTTGATTTGCTATATTTTTTCTGTTTTCTCTTCTTCAGCCTTTGTGGATGTTGGATCCAAATGCTATAAGCTCTCAAGAACATGAGGTTTGTAAAAGAAATGACATTTTACATTCACTTGATGATTTATTGTTAAATGTGTCAAATAGAATGGGCTCCCAAATTCTGATTGCAACTTCTAAATTAAATTTAGTTATGTAGCTGTCGCAGTCAGCAAAATTAGAAAACTCACTGTATCTTCATTTAGTGAAAAGAATGTAGTATATGTCTCTCTTACAGCCAGATCACATGATATGCAGTTTACTTCCCAGAATAAGTACATAAATCAAGAACAACATCAATTTGATCTCACCCATTCATGATTTGTGATCAGAGTATTGTAGATCTACAAAAATTTGCAAAAGTTTCAACTTTTTATTATGATTTTTACATTTTTACATCTTTTGCTTACAACCCCTTTTTCCTACATTACTTTCTGCAAAGGATGTTGCACATAGTCATTGCAAGCAGTGAATAGTTTTATATTGTTAAGTAGTTTGTGTAAAGCACAAAATTTCTGTTTACAGGAGTTTTATCAGTTTATTGCCAAGAGTCACGATAGGCCAAGATACACGCTCCACTACAAGACAGATGCTCCTTTGAATATTCGTAGTATATTTTACATTCCGGAAACTGTTCCACAGCTGTTCACAATGGCTAATACAGAATATGGTGTATCTCTGTACAGTCGAAAGGTTCTTATTCAATCCAAGGCACAGGGGGTTTTGCCAAACTGGTTGCGGTTTGTAAAGGGAGTGGTTGATAGTGAAGATATACCACTTAACCTCAGTAGAGAACTTCTCCAAGATAGTGCTCTTATTACAAAACTCAGCCAAGTTTTACAATCTCGTATTGTCAAGTTTCTTCAGCAGCAACAAAAGAAGGACAGAGTGAAGTTTGAAAACTTTTTCAAGGATTGTGGTACTTTCTTTCGTGAGGGAATAGTGAGCAGTAACAATGAAGATGAAAAACAAGACATAGCCAAGCTTTTGTTATTTGAATCATCACAGGAAAAGGCTGGAGAGTTAACCTCACTTTCTCTATATGTATCACGCATGAAACAAACCCAGCAATATATATACTACTTGTGTGCCCCAAGGTAAGGTGATCCAATTCCATCTAAACACTGCAACCTTTTTTTACCTCTTTGTATATTGAAAACAAAACAAAAATTGACTGTAATAAAACTGCATTCATATTGGTGCCTCTATTGAGTCCCTTTGGAATGGTAAAGTGGTCTTAATGGTGCCTGTTGTAAATTTAATGCTAAGCCAAGCTCAATCAACACTTTCATCTGGTATATTTTTGTTCATAGTCTTATAGAAATAATTTTACAAGTTTATTGATTAACTTATTTGGTAATTATGGTTCTCTGCTACAGTAATCTCACTGTTACTTTTGGCATGGTCATTAGCAGTATGGGGTTTACAAAATTTTACTTCAATTAGCTTACTTTGATTTTGAAACCACTTAATTGTTAATTTAATTGGACACCATAGCAAAGTGCGATAAAGAATGTCATGCAGAGAGCTTTTCATGTAGAGTCACATCATATCACTATTTGTATTATTAGTTGTTAATAGGCATTTTTTTGTTTTCAAGCATTCATTTTTTGATTCTGTTGCTAATGAATGAAACCAGTTCATGATCATACAGGACACAAACACTTTGGAAACTTACCATGACTGATTGTAAACATTATAACAAACCTGATCCAAACTTTACGGCATCATTTCTTTACTGGATTTCCAGGCCATGATATAGATAGCATTGTCTTTGTTTGTGAGACTGCACCTCAGTGATTTTTGGAATATGTCAAATTCATTTAACATTCCATTAAAAGAGTTTGCATGTAACTTTAGTAATAAGGATGAAGTATTCAATTGTTTCATATCATAGTAGTTGTCATCATTGTTTTCCTAATTTTCAGTCGTGAGCTTGCAGAGACATCCCCATACTATGAAGCGCTTAAAAAGGATGACGTTGAGGTGGGTTTTATGATGCGTTAACATGCACATACACTTTTACTAGGTATGTTTTTTCCCAATGTATCCCACTTTTTTTCTACATAATGTAACAACCTTTTACTATGCCTGAGGAGGTGTGACCTTGTCTTGCAATGTTTTCATGGCAATACTGTAGGTCTTGCACATGGTAGAATTTTACTGATGTGGTATCTCTGCAGCAAAGCCATTATGTATATTTCTATACAACAATGCTCTTGAAATTCCCACCTTTTTATGAGTAACTAGCAAGTGTCTTTGCATTTTTCTTTTTTGTGGCTTCTCTGTTCTCATGTAATTATAAATTTTAAAAATTTGAGTTGTTGCTGTTGTTGGTTTTTTGTATGAGGTGGTATTGTATCTTATAATTAACAAAATATTTGTTAACATATATCCATTTTTGTGGTGTGGCTTGAGTATTTGGTGAGCTAACACAACACAATGACTGTTATTATGTTTTCCTGTTAGGTATTGTTTACCTATAATGAACAAGATGATGTAACTTTGCATTACCTTAGTGAATTTCATGGGAAGAAAATCATAGCTGCAGAGAATTACTTTTCAGTTGATAGAGAAGTAAAATCGTCAATATCAACTGACACAATTGATGCAGACAACACATCTGGTTTGTATTTCAACCAACTTAGTGTGACTGGCTCAATTCTGGTATCATAAAGCTCTCAGCTAATTTTCAAATGCTTCTTTCATATCATAAAGTAGAATGGATATCACACCTATAGACAATAGTTTTACACATGTATAAGTCAATTCAGACCTACATCCCACATGTGCTAAGACACAGACGATAGACAGTAGACACAGGACAGTGGATTTTGTGACAGAACTGGATTAAAAAATTCAAAATTGTCACAAAATTGTTTATTGTCTGTGTTTTAATATGTTCTCCCATAGCCAAGTGTCAAATTGAGAAGTGACTTCACCAAACACACTTATCAGCTTTGCCAACAACTTTACCTTCAAGGTTCACTGCTTCAATGTAAATGGTATCAAAAATACAATTTACTAAGCTTAGTCTTTAAAAGTTGCACTGTTATGGGAAGACTGAATTAAATAGTTAACTGTTACCATAATAACATATTGCTAAATGAATGTGATTGTAGAGATTTTCAAACTCTGACATTGTGTGTGGTTGTATTCAACAAGTGTGTGGTGATTATAAATTTGATGCATGGATTTTCAAATTGAATGGAAGTTTTGATGTTCAGATATAACTTGGGTTACTAAGAATATTTGTTATTCCCCTTTAATCATAAGAGAGGCATACACTTCCGACAGTCAGTTGGGAGAGCTCTGCTTTAAAATTAGCCAATGGTTATTATCTGACTAGTTACATGGATATAATCTTTTCTCCAGATTCTCTATCAGATGAGCAATCTAAAGACTTGGCAGACTGGATCAGTATAATCTTGGGAAAGGAAAAAGTCCCTGTAGTTAAGGTTTGAATTTTTTAATGTGGCCTAAGTCATTGTTTTGAAATTATAGAAGGTGCTTTAGTAAAGCAGCCCTTAAATCAACCAAAATGACAACATTCTTAAGAGATTGTGAAAAGTGAAGAGGTCCCTGCATAAGCTTTTTTTTATAATGCTATGTGATAATAAGATTGAATTGCTTAATACCAGCTAGAAGAAGTTTAGAGCACTTTACTTAAATTGTCAAAAGGTCACTTGCTGTCACCAACCATACCAAACTTTGGGTTTGATTCTGGTCTAATAATAGGGCTTAAGAAGGCATCTTTTATGGTCTTTTTGTTTGTTTTAGGGGATTATGCTCTTTTGTTAAGAGAAAAAAAGTTTAAAGTATCAACTCTAAGCCAAACATCTCAGTGCAAAATTTGAAATTATCAGTACTGGATTAAATGAGCATTATAACATGCTTCTGTGGAGGGGTAAGGATGTTTTGTCAAGAACAAGTACTTACTTACCTGATGATGGAGGGTAAATTTGTGTAGGCACTGCCACATAGGGCAAGGGGTTAAATTATACAACATATTAGATTAATAACTCAAGCACTTTCACGCTATATCAGTCTTATGTAGAAGCTGAAGTAAGAATTCAACAACTGATTCACTAAATAAGTTATTAATATTAATAATTTAACACACGTCTCAACTAAAATTACACATTTGTGCATTTTAAATCATTCTGCCTCTTCATGAAAAGCTAGGTATTTTGTGCTTTTTGTTGCTTGAGCCAAAAAATAACTGTGAGTTTCAAAGTTTCACCAACCCTTTTCTTCATGAGGGTGTGTCAGCATAATGTAAATGGATGGGAGAACACAATGCAGTTCCATTTTCTTTCATCCTTGATTATTTTGTTGATAAGAAGTTATCACTTTCATTCAAGGTGTTAATCAGGTGTGTTTAATGCACGGACAGGTATCCAAACATCTTAGTAAGACCAGTCATCCTGTGATGGTCACCGTGCCTGACATGGTGGCAGCTAAACATTGGCTCAAAGTTATGAGAGCACAGCAACACCAGGATATTGACAATACCAAGTACCACTTTTTTCAACCCACATTGGAGATAAATCCTAGGTGTGTAACTAAGCCAAAGTTGATACCTTTACCTGTATGTGTGCCCATATATGTGACTTCCTACACTTGATTAAAGTTGTCTTCACATCATATATGTCAAATCGTTATTCAAATGAGGTGATACAAAGTTATGATAAAGTTATGATAGTGGCACTGATTTCAAAGTGTTGACTATAAAATGCGTTTTGACGAAGCTACAGAATGTGCCAGTGATGTTGACCATTTCTATTTCCCATGAGAATTGCTCTCCAGTATATGTAATCAAATAACTTTTTTCTTCTGCCACAAGAAAGGACATTAATAAAGTTACCACCTACTGTGGTTTGAGATCCCTAATAGTTCCATTACCCCTATGAAAACAGTCTTCAAATGGGCTAAAAAATTGACTTAGGATGCCACCTTTTTTGATGATTTTAGCTCCCACTTACAAGCCATGGCAGAGGAAATACTTTTAAATTGAGGCATGGTTTCATTCTCTGGCTTCAACATACCATTTTTACCATAGCATCCTCCTTACATAGTGTGCTAGTTAATTACTTTGATCAAAATTTTGATTAGCACACAAAGCTGTTTGTTAGCTTATTTAAAACTGTTATTTTCAATTCTGGAAAACAATATTGAGCTAACGAAAAAAAGGGTTACTGGAAGAACGAATTACGGTCAACTCGCCGACGCCAACTCGCGACGTATAAAATCGAGTAGAGACGTCGGCGAGTTGGTCCTCAATCCAATACAACTTATTAGAAGTTAAACATACAGAAAAGTAAACGATATTTAGTCAAAAACACTGGTAAACATTGGTGAACATCAGACAGAAGCTTAAACATTGGTGAACATTGGTGAACATCACCAATGACTATAACAGCTTAAGACGCGAACGAGATAAATTGTGCGACAACAACGCCGTAAAGACTCATCATGTCAATCGCTCAGATTTTTTAAAGAAAACTTGGCTCTCTAGACAAGATCTTTAGTAAAAAGCAATTCTTTCTGTTTGCAACAAAGTTCATAAGGATCTCAAGGCGAATAAAGCGAAGTAAACATCACCAATGACTCTAACTGCTTCAGACGCGAACGAGTTATTGCGTGACAACAACACTGTAAAGACTCATCATGATAATCGGTCAGATTTTTTAAGAAAACTTGGCTTTCTAGACAAGATCTTTAGTAAAAATCAATTCTTTTTATTTGCAACAAAGTTTAAAGGGATCTCAAGGCGAATAAAGTAAAGTAAACATCGCCAATGACTATATCCGCTTTAGACGCGAACAAGTTATTGTGTGACAACAACACCGTAAAGACTCATCATGTCAATCGCTCAGATTTTTTTTTTTTGCTTTTTACTAAAGATCTAGAAAGCCAAGTTTTCTTTAAAAAATCTGAGCGATTGACATGATGAGTCTTTACGGTGTTGTTGTAATGCACAATAACTCGTTTGCGTCTTAAGTTGTTATAGTCATTGGTGATGTTCACCAATGTTCAAGCTTCTGTTTGATGTTCACAAATGTTCACCAGTGTTTTTTTTACTAAATATCATTTACTTTTCTGTATGTTTAACTTCTAATAAGTTGTTTTGGATTGAGGACCAACTCGCCGACGTCTCTACTCGATTTTATACGTCGGCGAGTTGGTCCGTCGGCGAGTTGGTCCGTCGGCGAGTTGGTCCGTCGGCGAGTTGGTCCGTCGGCGAGTTGGTCCGTCGGCGAGTTGGTCCGTCGGCGAGTTGACTGGATACCGGAAGAACTGTTTCAAAAGGTCTCTAGCACTTGTGAGGCTTCCTATCCATTATAATTTAAAAACAGAGGAACAAAGTAAAGATACTGATGTTTTGTATGAACATGATTTTATTGTGTTATATTGCTCAACTTATCTAGTGTCACCCATTGCTGTGATTCTCTAAAATATTTTGTCCTGCAGCCATGAATTAATCAAACAACTGCAAGAAGTTCGGTCAGTGAATTTAGATCTAGCTGTTATGGTTGTTCATCAGGTGGGTGGGGCTCTATCCTGTTATTGTGGTGTTTATTTCTGTTGTAGGTAAAAAAATTAGCTTGCAAACAGGCCCTCATTATTAGAGTTTTGCCAGGCATCTGGCACTAATAATGAGTGCTAGACCCCTTACAGACTTCTCGTCAGTTTGCATTGCTTGTTGCTCATGCCAAAGCGCTAATACTGAGGGCCTGCTTGCAGGCTAGTCTAAAGATGTTGTTGATGACTCAAAAAACTGATACAGAAAATTTGGAAAGTGAAGTGACCGGCAAGGACATAGTCTTGCTCCATATGCATGATGAAAGTAACACTACTATTTATGGTATTGTAATCAGTTGAATGTTTTCTTGCAGCTGTTGGACAATGCAATGATATCTGCAGGACTACTTGATGACCCAAGGAGCATGGTGAGCAGACTGAACTCTCTATTAGCTCAAGTGCTTGACTCAGCTCATGGAACTGCAAAACCTGAGTGACCATCCACTTTTATTACACCTGATCTGATCACAGCATAGCTGGCACATTGTCTCCAGTGTGCCAGGATCCAGAATGGGATCTGATCAGGAGAAAAACTACCCTGCAGTATGCCTAACAACCAGGAAGATATGATGCAGACAAATTGCAAAATCCTATTACAAAAATATGGTATTTAATGCTAATGAAATATATCTAGGTCAGGATTTTTTATGTATAGGTGTGTCTTAGTTAAGAGTCATGTGTTCAGTTCTTGTATCAGAGCAATGGTGATTTCATCAGGAGTTTATGAACTTCGTTGTTGCCCTCGTGATCTTTTATTAAATGTAGTATTAGTGTTAAATGTCTTTTTTTTTCTGAGAAATATTGAGAATAGATACAGAGCAAACACTGATAACCTGTTACTGAGTTGTAAAGAATAGCTCATTCATACATTTACTTAGTTGATTGGAGGACTTGTATACATGTCAAATATGAGTACCTCACTTAACATCAATAAAATGTGTAATGTCAATGAATTCAATAGTTTTTGTGGAACTAAAAGTTTTAATGACAGCTGCATACTGTAGCAAAATCGGTCCTTAAGATACATTTTCATGATTAAAGTGATTTACTTTACATGAAACTACCTGTGGTTACTTCTAGACAGTTTTGGCATTGTGCAAACAGTCCCTTACCTGTTATAAACCCAAGCTGTCTCAAAAACTTAGGGCATTTTCCTTCCTAAAAAATATTGATGTCACAAAGGATGTTCCAAAATAACACAGCACTCATAATGGTAAATTAACGGGGTGGGGTGCAAATTTGCAAGGTAATCACACGATTTTGCATGCAACTTGGAATAAATCTTCACTAGTGAATTAATGACTTTCTTGTCAATCCATAGTTTGGTAGTAATTTGCTGGATTCTCCAGCTGCTGGAGGTATTTGCACAACGTCACAATAGGTAGAATTTTTAAGCATGAGTAAGATTTTTTGGCTTATTTACACAAAATTGCATGAGAAATTGTTCTAATTTACAAATAATTTACATCAAAAAAGTATTACAGAAAATAGACAGCTGACTTTTTGACAGGGTGTGCAATTTGTAATTTGCACTTGTGTCACAACTTTGTACTCATGTAACATGAAAAATGCACATGCCAATCAGCCAAGTGGCCCAATCAATATCAACCACTTTCACCACCACTAAGGGGAATGATTGTCTTTGTATATATACTTATAGAGACATACATTTGTCCATATATGTATATATATGTATGTATATATATATATACATATATATGTTGAAGCAGAGCAGAATAAATATTATGAGAGGAAAAAAGGACGCAACTACATTTCCCGACAAGCCTGTTTCGTGAATCACTTCACTCTTCAGGGGTTTAATTCCCTGAAGAGTGAAGCGATTCACGAAACAGGCTTGTCGGGAAATGTAGTTGCGTCCTTTTTTCCTCTCATAATATATATATACATATATATATATATATATAAATCTTTGTTTTAGTCCAGCAGGTAATTTAGTGTTAACAACTGGGTTGAAAACGTAAATTAACCACAGTAAAGGGTAAAGAAGCTGACGTTTGGAGCATTAGCCCTTCGTCAGAGCAATTGGTTATATCTGAAGGTTGAACTAATCAATAAGACTTAATTTTGTGCTGTGACTCTGAGTTTCATGCTTACGTAATCATCAGACATATGTTTATGAATTGAAGTGTGGTACCATGCCTAAGTTGGTAGACTTCAAAAGGCACAAATATTATATACTTTGGTAGTAAACGTTTTGCTAGTTTGGGCTTCCTTAGTGCGAAGTTATGCAAACTAAGGCTAGTTAAATTTATACAACAGACTGCTAAGGTTTGTTAACTAAGGGTGTTACTCTACTGAGTGGATGAATGGATGTATAAGAGGAACACCAACAATAGAGTAACATCTCAAGTTAATGAACCTTAGCAGCCTATTTTGTGTGTTTGTATATATATATATATACATATATATACTTAGATATAGGTGAAAGAATCAAAGAGGACACATCAATTCTCTGTTACTCAGAGTTTCGCGCCTAAGCGTTCGTCAGACAGTCAGAGTTCTGTCTGATGAGCACTTAGGCGCAAAACTCTGAGTAACAGAGGATCAATGCATCCTCTCTGATTCTTTCACTTATATATACTCAGCTCTGCTACCACAACATTGAGCACTTTATGCCAAGGTAGACTCTACCCCCACATTTATACTTAGATATAGTATATATCTTAAGTATAGAACTTGCCAATCAGAGCACGCCTTCAATGCTATCTACTGTTTTAGTTAACAATTATACCATGAGCGTGCATTGGATGTTCAATCTCGTATTCAGCAAGAGTATTTGGAAACAATGTCTTGATAAATTTCCTGAAATCCTGAACGTTTGAATATTTTCAGCAACAATTTTCTGCTGCCAACACTGGTCGCAATGCATGTCCATATAAGGTGACTCGTAACATGAGCTGAGAACCGAAGTTGAGTGAACCAATCAGAACAATTGAAATGCAATATGCCTCCAAACCCTAGAAGCCGTCAGGGTCATGATACGACCAGATGGACGAAGGGTTACTTCCAGTCTGAGCACCGGCTAACATCGTTGAATTCAGTGGTTAAATTCTTGACTGAACTCTATGTTTATATGCGTCGAAATTAAAGAATTTTGTGTAGATTTCGGATGTTGAAAGTCCTTGTTTAAAATCTTTTAAGGCAAGGGAGAAAATCTCTCGTAGAATCCAACGATGGCGGACCAAGAAGCCGAGTGTGAACAGTTTATAGGCGACGATTCTGAACTCCATTGTCGGAACAAAGTCAAGCCCTTGGTGGATATGTTGACGAGGAAAAACGTTGGCATGTATTTACAGTTTATTTTGTTTGGAATCGGCTCGGTTCTTCCTATATTTGTGATTTTCGCCGCTGTTGATTACTTCGATGACATTTTTCCTCACAAGCAACCAGAATTTGCAATGAACGCGATCTACAATCCGCTGCTGTTCTGTGGTTGTTTCGTTAACTTGGTGTGGGGTCGCGCAGCTAGTTTCAAATGGAGGATTGTCAGTGGATTTTCAGTCGTAGTCATATGCTTGTTGGGCTTCATTTTTCTTGATCAGCTGGAGTTATGTGGGTCAACATGTCTTAAGAGCCATTACTGGTCCGTTCTGTTTCTAGCAGGTATTCTTGGCTTGGCAGATGCCGTGTGCCAGTCTACTTTGTTTGGTCTTACTACTCACGCTCTGCCACCAATATACACCCACGGACTAATGGTAAGTTATCTCGTGGAAAGTGAAGGGGAGTATGCTGGTCATATAGGGTCAAAATTTTGAAGTGATATCTTTATTTTATATTGAGAAGCCGTATCTATGTTCAAATTAAGTATTTGGGTCCAAATTGCGACATACGTTTATATACAATTCCCTAGATATATGAATGTGTAGAATATTAAGATATATCTCCATATGTCCAACCCTTTGTTGCGTACTTGCACATGGTCCGATGTAAACATGCAACTTTTACGATATAGATATAAAGTTTGAGGAAACTACGTCATGTAACTGTTCGTGACTTGACTCGCATTCAGGGCGGCTCAATGGTTCCCAACATTGATTCTTTCTTCGATTCTCTGTTGAGAGTTATCCGAGAAGTGAGAAGTCATTCATACGCAACCCTATTTCACAGAATGATGGAATGACAGAATACCTTAAACTGCATGGCATAGGAATACCCTAAGTCGTATGACAGGCACCTTTGTAGCGTTAACAAACTTGATACCTGAAATATGTTTAAAAATTTAGCTGTTCATGGTAACTCTAAAATAGGTTCATTTTACTGGCAATCAATAGTTTTTCCTTTATTGTTTGATTTCCTGCTGCGTCCAACAAAGGCAAGGAGCTGCATTACTTAAATATTTAAATTACAACTATCCATGAAACAATTGTCACTAACCATTAAAAAAAGACAGTACACACTGACACAGACATTGTGGGGTAGTGCAAGACATACCATATATTATAACATTATAAAATACTTATTTAACTCCAAATGTTAGATTCCGTTTTTTATTATGATAAAAAATTAATTAATTTATAAAAAAATTTTAAAAAAAAGGACGTGGATATGCATCTTGATATTCTGGACATTCATGTATTTAGGCAATTGGATATACATACTGCAATTTGGATATACATATTTAATTTGGACATAGATAATACAACTTGATATACAAATATCACTTTTCAAAATTTTGAGCGGCAAGCATAGAGGTGTGCAGGGTTTGTATGTAATGATTGCTTGATTGTTCATGGAGTACTGTTTCCTTTCAATATGTTACAACACCAAACCAGAGGCAAATCAAATCAAGTAATGTTCAAATCAAGGATAAACCTGGCACAACAAGGGCCCAGTTGTTTGAGGGCCGATTAGTGCTAACCCAGGGTTAAATTTTAATCTGGGTCTCTTTATTCCTTTACTCAAAAGCCTTTTCATTTTAATTTTCAGCGTTCTTTTTAAAGCATCAAATAGTCATATTCTAGACAAGAAGAATTTGACTGAATTTTCTTTTAAAGCTTTTAGATCTGAAATTAGATTTCACACTATCCTTAGGTTATCTTAATGCTTTGAACAACCTGGCTTAGATTGACAACCTCAGTTTCACACAGTCAAGGTAGTTTCTGTTATCAGACCTATCAACCCCAGTTTGTTGTGGGGTTAAACCTTACTGGGAAATATTTACCATATGAAAAAAACTGGAGTTTGAAATTTAACACTCTGATGAGCCTGTTAGACTTCATTTGAAGGGAAAGAAACACCAAAGCTATTCACCATTCATTTGAAAACATAATGACCGAATTGGGGAAAATTAGCCCAAATTAAGGTAATTTAGCAATTGAATGGCTCTGATGAAGGGCTAATGCTCGAAACATCAGCTTTTAAACTCTTCACAGTGGCCAGTTTGTGTTTGCAACTCAATTGATAACACTTTCTTACCCTGTAATGTAAAACAGTTTTATTCTGCTGATAATTATGCAAGTTGGCTCACTGAGCCCTCAGATTAAAATACAATTTATTTTTGTGTGGGCTGGTCTACGATTCTTTCACATATGAACCTTTACACTGATCGTTTTGTTTGTACATTTCACAATTTCTGTGGCACAATTGTAATGATTTATAAATGGGTAGGTATTAAATTATTAAGATATTAAAATAAGAACTGTTATGATGTGCCCTCATTATTCTAAACAAAAATTAAATATTTGTAATGAATATCACAGAGAACTTTTAAATAAATGTAAGTTTTTCTGAAATGTTGTATAATATTTTCTTCTTTTATTATCTCCACAGCTTGGTGTAGGCTTATGTGGCTTCCTTATGACATCTTTAAGAGTTTTGACAAAGACTGCTACCAAAAATCTTCATGTGTCAAGCTATTACTACTTTGGGACAGCAGCCATATTTACTTTGGTAGTGGTAGCTGTTTACTTTCATCTCATTGGAGGTGATGCATTTCAACGTTACTACTCCCAAGCTCCAAGAAGTGGTCTTGACACTGACTGGAAACATCCTTTTCAACGTTTTGCATTCTTTACAGGTGAAGCACTGAGAGTGTTGCGCTATAAACATGTCTTCTGCCACTGTTTTTTGCTTACATTAGTAACTGCCCAACAGTATGTTGTGATACCATCAGTGGCTGCCATGGCAACAGACTTCCTTGGTAATGGTTGGTTCCCTGTGTTGTTAATTTTAGTATACAATGTTGGTGATGTTATTGGCCGAGGGCCATTGGCTTTGTATTACATGTATTCTATTTGGTGGGCATGGCTATCTACTCTTGTTCGTTTCTTTATTATTGCTGGCATCTGTCTTAGTGTACCCCCTCACAGTATGAGTACAAGGCCTGCCTGGATGGCAACTTTTGTTGCAGTACTTGGTCTATCAACTGGTCATCTGACAACATCCCTAATCTCTTACTCTTCATCTGAAGTACCAGGAAGAGCTAAGGAAACTGTTGGATACCTAAGTGTGTTAAGCATGACACTTGGAATGGCTGGTGGAAGTGCTACCAGTTATTTCATGAAAGCCCTCGTGGATAGGACTAGCTAACTTAAGAGTGTATGTATTGCCATTAGCAGGTTTGAATGTTATACTTAAACCACTTAACTCACAGGATCAGATTGTTAATTCTCCTCATCTAGCTGCAGCACATTTCCTTGAAAATTAATTACAAGAATGTGGTGTTAGATCAAGATCATTTCTATGTGATAAGTTTGAGTGTTCTCATTACCTGAACATGTTAATCACTTCTGGGACTTATAGGGTTAGAGAATGTTATTTGTCCTTTCAATTATGTATGAGTCACTAGCAATATCAAGTTATGAGAGAAGCAAAGGATATCAATCTTAGGGGGTATCAATGAGTCAAAAACCCATTACAGTACAGAACCCCCCATGGGTTCTTTAGTACAAGTCCTGTGAACATGCGCATATTTTTGGAGGAGGACAAAAACGAATTTTAGAGGGAGAAAAGAAATTTTGGCCACTGGAGGGACTACTCCAGGAGTTTAGTGGGAGAGAGTGGTTAATGTCTATGATTCTTTGCTGATTATGATGGCAGGTTGGTAGAAGGGGGAACTTAAATCCTTTTCTAAGACTATTCCTCTTTCTTAAGCTTGTAATGTAGGGTCAGAGCCCTAGTAGATATGATAAATGTTTAGAAGAAATATCTGACATAGACTGACATAGGAAAATAGAAAAACAGTGATAATAAGTTATCAGTTAAACCAGCTATATTTTGGATACAATCAACTTTAAGAGGGTGCTTTGAAATAATTTTTGCATGAGTTCCATACAACATTAAACAAGAGAGAATTACACCAAAAAAGAGAATAGTAATGGGTTAAAAGTTATCTTAAAGGCTATCTTAGTTTAAGGATTACCTAAACCGTAAGCTTTCAGCTTCTAGTCTTAGGAAATTTTGAAGGGAAAGATGAAAAATAGACATGTTCAAAATGAAAGTGTTGTTGCAAATGCCAACTGAAGCCGTTTCCACAAACTTCTCAATTTTTATTTGTCTCCGATAAGATTCAATATGATTCTCTCGTGTCGATTTAATTGGAAGTGAAATTACTCCTCGTAGTTGGTGTTCGTTTAATTACAAGTTGAGCTGCATTCGATCTTATTAAAATTTTTCTGACTTTTCTCCTTCCTGTGGAGCCATCTTCTTAAAAACTCTTCTTTGGTTGTTCAGTTCTTCAGTGATTGGTGGTCCTGATTTTCTTTCACGGGGTGGACGTCTAATTTTGAAGAACCTTGAGACCCATCCACCAATTTGTGAGACGGGCTAGAGAAAATACTTGTGAAATACTGCATCAAATTCGTCCGCCTCCTGGTTTGTGACTTGCTTGAAAATCTTGCATACCGTCTTTGCCTCAGCCAGTGATTACGCAGTCGCGGTTGTGGTTACATCTTCTGGCCAAGTCGGTGGTTCCCTTTCCACGAAAGTCCTGTCTCGTATCATCCCTGGTCGCTTCTCTGCAGCTGTTTCTCCTTGAACTCTTTTAGACAACCGCTTGATCTCCTGTAGATGGATCTGCTAACCCAAACAAGTCTAGTGTACAGAGTTCTTCGTAGTCTTCACTTGACGTTTAATTGAGAAGCATGTTGGTGGTGTCAATTTCTTTACCAAGCAAGGTGATAGTCCAACCTAGCTTCGTGTAAGTGGCTATCGGGTCCCATTCTCTTCCCACGCGTTGAGGTTCGGTGGTGGTGATTCGGAGCCATTCACTATTTCCCGGGATAATGTGTACATGCAAGCGGGATCTTTCGTCAGTGTCATCCATGGTCACACCCTTAAGATGGCCCTTTAGATAGCTCTACTACACTCAGGTGTAGTAGGGCTGACTTGTTCGTTGCATTGTTTTGTAATCTTAGGCAATTATGCCTGTGGAAATTATGTGCATATTGAGTAAGTAAATTTTGAAATCAATAATCCCTTTCACCTCGCGAGTGCAAAGGTGATAGTCGTCTTGTGGCCTCGTCCGCGATACGAGTGGTAGTACTTCATACAGAGTGCCTCTTCCCCCTCTGTTGAAACATTTACACGATTTTCAGTCCATGAAAAAAATGAAAGGAAAAAAAGTAGGCCAGGTGAAAGCTAAGCTAGAATCACACTCTTTGAAGACCTTGTAAGCAGTTGATCTCTTGAAGGAGACGTTCGGACTTCGTGTCGTACAGTTAAGTATAGATCGAGCTCATAATTTCAAATCAGCATCGCGCTATGCACTCGGCCAATTTGAGATCACTCCTCAGGTAGAGCACTCCACTCAGTCCTAGTACTATTACAAAGGAAGAGCTGTTCAGAACCTCTCGAATTTGAGCATTTTGATATTGACACAATTAGAGACCGAATTGGACTCCACTCCATGCTACTCGTTCCTTTATCCATTGTTTTCAGTTTTATAGCTATATTTTTCCCTCTCCTGTATTTCGCTTTAAAAGGGGTCGTAAATTTGTTTCGCTTTCTTGTGGATCTTACCAGCCCACCCACTGGCATAAAAAGTTCATAGTCAAATAGTTTCTTGTATTACTTTGCATGTCCTGGTGCACATTGTAAGGAACACTTTGCAATTGGAAACTCCTTGTACCTCTGGATGATGTGGTTTTAATTATCAGCTGAGTTGATAATATAAATTGGCAACCGTAAAAAGTTTCCAAGGTTGACATTTCAAGGGTCAGCCCTTTGTTAGAGCGAAGGCTCGTACCTCTGCTCTTTCAACCCTTAAATTCTTGATAGTGATTAACGTCTGATTTCTCGTTACAGTTTCACCCTGATCTGATCCATTTTTGAATGAAACTGATAACTAACGTAGGATCAAGAGAGGATAGAGCTGTCTTGCTTACGAAGCTCTTTTTTGTTAAACAAGTTGTCTCTGTCAGTTCCATATAACTCCTAGAAAAGTATTTCCTTGCAGCTAAGAATAGGACCAAGTGTTCTCTCCTGTTTTGTTATATTTTCGGTTTTCACCTACATGACTTGGTCCTTTTCAACTGTTCCTTTTCACAATGTTGGTGTCCCTCGAAGTGTCATCATAGGCTGAATCTCGAGAGGAGGCTTGCCATAGTTTTGTGTATCACAGTTGGTTGTTCGACGAAAAATGAAAGCACAAAGATGTTAAGTTCTTTCGTTATTAGAGGCTATGACGAAGTCAAACCGGTCACAGGCTGGTCAAAGGTAGATTGTGATTATTTTTTCTGCAGACAATCCCGAGCGGGCCTCAGGCGGGCAACATGGAGCCCATCCTCCAGCTCCCATAGCCAATCAGATCTTTACAATGGGCTAACCACAATTTGAAGTTCCCGTATAAGACAAGTCACGTCAGCAAGTATCTCATCATCGCAGCAACATGGCGGACAACCATGAAGCGGTTGTGGACGGGATCCGTGAAACTGACTTGAACGAAGATATGATTTCTGGCGCTATTGGTACCAGTGCAACCACACGGATTGATTTTGAAGAAGATGATCCACGACATTTTCCAGGCATGGACGAAATGTTAAAAGTAGCTACCGATTTACAAGACACGTCAGAACGTACGGTTCAACTGACGGTCGACGATAATAGTGAGTCACCCAGATTAGAAATGGAAAGTTCCGGTAAGAAAATAACCACGATTTACTGAACAAAATAAATTTTGATGGAAAAACGCAACGACTTTTCAATTTTGTCAGAGTTTTTTTGTTTCCACGCGTATGATAATATCCTCAATTGAATGTACCCAATGTGAAAGATGAAGTCTACTAAGTTTTCTACCTCTGTAAGCTTGTTAGCTTAAGTGTGTTGAAGGCCCATCGAACCGTGACATTTAACATCTTATACGCAAACCAGCGGATAAAAAGGTCAGAATATCAAAACGAGACACTTTGCCTTCATAATACCGGGTTGGCAGACTAAATAAGTCAAGGAAATTCAAATTGCCTCGAGTCTCTGAAAACCTCTGACTAGAAGAAGCATCGAGACGAGAGAACTAAAGAACTGATTTTGCCAAGTCGCTTACTATAGTAAAAGTGACATTTTTCCATTGCCTATTGGTGAAAAATTTAGCAGAGTAGTAGTCAGTAGTTTGGATCTTAAATCAGCAATCCTCAGGAATTTGTTGTTTGACGTCGCCTCTTCTTGACGCACCTTTGTGTTCAATTTTGTATGCAGCAATAGATAAATCATTGCTGTACATGGTACTTTTAGTTGTAAAACTGTTATATTGTAATAATGAGTTTGGACATCTATATGTAAGATAGGTTTATCACAAATTGCTTGTCTTTCTTGAATTCAATAGGGCCTTCTTCATTGCCCCCATGGCAGACACCAGCAGAAACTTATCAAAATGGTCATCCTTCGTCTCAAGCTGTCATTCGACCAGGCACTGCTCAGAAAATAGATCACTTAAAGAAATGGAGTATTTCAACATACAAGTATACTAGGCAGTATCTTTCTGAGAGATTTGGTAAAGGCACAAAGACTGTAGATACCGAACTTGAAGGACAGATTCTTTTGTTAAAGGAAACCCAAGTTAAGTATGTCAATGTTCTAAAACTAGCAAAACAGATGACAAACCATTTCCAAAATATGGTGCAAAGTCAAAGAAGTCTTGCTGATGCCTTTGCAGATTTAGGGATGAAGTCACCTGAGCTCCAAGATGAATTCAACTATAATGCTGAATCTCAGAGATCACTTGTCAAAAATGGGGAAGTTCTTCTTGGAGCACTAAATTTTTTTACATCAAATTTGACAACTCTGGTGCATAAGACCATGGAAGACTCCATCATGACAGTGAAAGCTTATGAATCTGCTAGAATAGAATATGATGCTTACAGGACAGACCTAGAATCCACCCAAGCTGGACCAAGAACAGCAGGGACAGCTCTAAAAGCTGAAGAGGCAAAGCAACAGTTTGATGTTCAAAAAGAGAAATTTGACAGACTACGTGGGGATTTAGCAATCAAACTAAGATTTCTGGAGGAAAACAAGGTACTGAAAATACATCTAATACATCAGCTATTATGTACAATGTTAAGGCAATTGCTTTAGCTACATGCAAGATTTCAATTATAATTTAGGAAATGTTCGGGGTTCATCCTTGTAAATGGGCCAAGTGCCAATAAACTTTTGGTCTTCCTTCACTTACTCAGCTTATTGACTACTGAACTTATTAAGCAAATTCCTCTTGAACTGCAAAAGGAATAGGAGTATTTTGAAAATTGTGATACAGTGTTAAATATGAGGAGAAAAATTTGACACTGTATTTTAACATGTGAAGGTGAGCAGCTTTACTACAAAGTCACATGGGGCTGGGAAAAAAGCTGAATCTGAGTGTTCACATCATGCACCTCACCTGTATTGAATACACCTAATAGAGCCTAATAGAGAAGAGAGAGAATTTGTTTTAAAAAGAGTTCAACTCCCACAGGACTAATTTGGAACAAAAGTATAGCAGACTTTCCATTGTGTAGGAATACCAATATGGATGCCATGATGTAATGTGAAAACACTATTGTTTGGGTCTCTTTAATTAGACTTCATTTGCACCCTCTGGCATAATTTCTCTTTCTGTAAATTCCTGGGGCTCAAAATGCAGTAAATAGATATGTCAGAGGGGAGCTTAGTAATCCAGTATCTAGTTTTTTTTACAACAGTCACAGACTATTGGCTAGTTGAACCAGTTGAGCAGTACAACTAAACTACTTAAGCTAATAAGTTGAAGAATCAGAACTAACAACTCGCTTTTTCACTAAACTCAGAATCATTTATTGATAGTTGTATGTACATGTAATATCAACTTATTGACTGATTATGTGTAGATGAATTTCGCTCCCAATATTATAATGAGCCTAGTAAATTCTGGAGGCAACTTTGAGAAGTGAAGATGAAAGGTTGTTTGATTTTAAGTGTTAATTTTTGGATGTTGTCTGCTACAAATACAAATGTTTGCCAATATCTTGTTGGCAATGTGATTGTAGCAATGGTGTAATCAATACTGAAAGGGTTCTTAAGGTGTAATTTTGATTATCAAAGAGTTGGTTTAAGTAGTAATAATTCGTATTGTATTTACTTTTATAAATAGGATTTATATTCACCACTGATTTACTTGCTTTTCCTGCATCCACAGGTGAAGGTGATGCACAAGCAATTGTTGCTTTTTCAAAATGCAATTAGTGCTTATTTTGCTGGAAACAAGCAAGCATTGGATAACTGTATAAAGGAATTCCACATTAAAATAAAAAACAATGAGGGCAAACAGCCATCTTTCTTGGAACACTGATGTTGTTGTGGAAACATTTGTCATCTGGGACTGTTAATCAAAGACTCAGTAAGCTGCAGGCGTACTTGAAACTGAAAGGATGTTTGGAATTTTTGTTTGGCTAAATTTTGTTGATGTAGAAAGAAACAAAACTACAATATAAAATGGAAAGAAGAATTTTGATTACTATGTAGTATGAAATGGAAAGAAGAATTTTTATTACTATGTAGTATGAAAATTTTTTGATTTAAATTTACAGTACTTCCTTGGATTGTCCTCAGTACACAAAAATACATCAAATTCCAGCAGGAAAAAATTGCATCAATTTGCTCTTCTCAGTTAAACAAGAAAGTTCTCAAGAAAATAATTTGTCACTTCAGATTCATAATATTGAGGGTCATATGGATTCAAAATATCAATGAATGAATAATCTTCTGTATAGTTGTCTTGTCAGCTAGGCTTTGCAATCTCCTGCATGTCAATCAGAATGCTGTAAGAATGAGCTCCCAGAAGACATTTCAGCTCTCTGGAATGGCAAATGTTTGTAAGAAAAATGCAACGAATTGCAAATCCTTCAAAATATGACTCTTGAGAAATTTTATGCTACTTGGTAAATATTGTTTTATCCTTTCTTCATGACAGTCAAATGGTAAGTCAAGCTGATTAATCGAGATTGTAATTCCAAAGATAAAGCAAAGTGTTATTAGTGGTAGGTAGATTAAAATTTAACTTGTGGTATTGTGTTAGATGGAACCAAATAAAAGTATGACTTGAAAGCCATCTAGAACTGGTGTGACCAGAGTATCATTTGAACTAGCTACTGACTCTCAGACCACAATTGTTTCTTTAGCCTAAGCAGGAGACAAGGATATTTGTCCATGAAAAGTAAATTCACTTTCAGGCTGACCAATAAGCACTCAGACTTAGTAATAAGTGACTAACAACAATTGTGACATTCATTTTAAAGTTAATACATAATTAGGATAAGCAAGTCTCCTAGAGATGGCAATTTCCACTCTCAAACAGTGTGTTACTACTTTTATATCTGATATTCTTTTCTTTAGTGATAGGAAGGGTGTATTCAACTCTACACACTATTCACTTAATTTTATAGCAGCATGGTAAAAATCCATCACTAGCCATCAACACTGAGGTGAAGAGTTGTTTTTGTAGATACCAAAACAGTGGGATAATATTGCAAAATGTTTCTGTAATTATTACAACATTTAGATGCAAATCCTGGGCATGTTGCTTGGAGGTGAATAACAGAAGATATTTGAAGTTTGAGTAGAACCTGAGCAAGCCTGCAATTTTATTCACTGTTTTAGTATATACTAAATTAGTGTACTTGCTCAGGTGATTACAAAGATGTGCACACTCAGTTGGTCAAGGATCATATGTCTTTTTATGATAACCCTGGTGCAAGGTGATATTAATTTTGAAGCACTAATCTTAAAATGGAACTTTTGAGAGTAGTTGTTTTTAATGAAGAAAAATGTAAAATGAAAGAAAAAGCAGGTACTCTGATACTCGTCATTACTTCTACCAAAATAAGTATTATTCTCAAGCTGACTGAATACTGTCTAACAGTTGTTAGATATTATTAAAAGAAGCATACAGGGGACAGCTGCAAACATTTATATTGGTGCAAAAAAATATATTTGGATGTAAACAAATATATATTGATGCAAAAATAATAAAACATTGCGTAAAATTAATAAATGTTACTGCAAATTAATAAAAGCTCCAACAAATAAGAACAAACATTACGGCAAATTAATAAATGCTGCAAAAAAAAATGTTATTGCTTCAAACAAGTAAAAGTTGCTGCAAGCAAAAACTGAAAACCTCTGCGCGCGCAGCAATCGGAAGGGACTGGCACGAGTTGTACTTACAAGCAGAAGTAAAGGTGTTTTGTACCCATTGCACTGCAGAACTTCTCTCCATACCCGCGAACTTTTGTTATTCTTGTGGTAAAGAGCTTAATGTAAAAGTAGATGAGCCGAAATCTGAGATGAGTGATAATTCGTCAGCAGTGTCAGCAAATGATTTAATAACAGAAATGTTCCATCGCAGTTACCGTCACGATGTTATTGTTCATTTACTCGAGAAAAACGGTTATAAGATGTACCTTAAAAGAAGGCTGATTGATCTAGGACTGAAAAGTGGAAAAAAAATGGCAGAATCCCAGATTGAATTACTAAACAGAAGAGAAATCGAAGGTACAGGAAGACTTGCAGGTTACAGAAATATCTGGCATGCCTTGCGTTTAAGACACCATGTGCATGTCCCTCGTTCTTTGGTTGCCCGTTTGATGAAAAAAAATCGATCCAGATGGCGTGCAAGACAGAAGCGCCAGACGTTTGACGAGACGAAACTATCTATCTCCAGGACCAAATTTTTGCTGGCATGTAGACGGTAAGCAGTTTACCAGCAAGTGATGAATTTTATATCAGAAATCTAACAAGTTTTCCAGTTATTTCATTTTATTTAGGTTATTAGTAGAATAGAAAGCTTTCGATTCCTTAAAAACGTAGCAATTTAAATTTAATAGATTTTGTATCACAGCTTCAAAAAATCAATGTGATTTGCTATGTCCTATATGTTAAAAAAAGTATTTTACTCTTACCCTAAGCCACTCTGGTTTTTTCAAAAAACCCATTGATTTCATTCTACCCATTCATCATCAGGATATGACAAGCTCAAGCCGTATAGATTTCCCATTCATGGTTGTATTTGTTGGTATAGCAGGAGAATTCCTTGGCTTGAAGTGGTGAAATCTAATAATGATCCAAGTGTTCCAGCAAAGCTTTATTTAGACACAGTTCAAAGTTTGAAAGGTTGTCCAAGGATTGTAAGATCAGATTGTGGAACAAAAAATGTGACCTTGGCAGCCATACAATGTAGTCTTAGAGCAACAGATCAAGATGAATATGCTGCAGAAAAGGCCCACAGGTATGGCTCGTCTCCAGCAAACCAATGGATTGAAGGATATGTCCGAGTCTGGGTTACTCAATTTGGGTGACACTTTTCACTTGGAATGTTTTTGGTTTTCCTTTGCCAAAGTAATCCAGGCTGAGCTTGATAAAGTTGAAGATCACTAGAATAGCCATCATATAAGGCATTCAAGGCATGACACAGTCTCAGGAGTGCCAGATGTCTTGTTCTTTCTACCTGAGTATTCAGGAGCTACTGATTGTCTCATACCTGTAACACAAGCTCAAGTAGATGAAATGGATCAGTATTGTGAACTTCCACAACATACAGAAGAATATGCAGAATATTTTGAATATGTTATAGCGAACAAGAATTATCCAACCAATGTAAAAGAAGCTTTTGATTTGTTCCAATATTTTATTCACCTACGACAACCTTGATCCAATGCTTGACATAATGAACTGGAAATGTCTGAAAGTACATTTGTTATCTGTAAGAATGATTTTCATAAACCCAAGAAAAAGATGTGAGGTACACATTGTCCACCCTGATTCTGTTGCATTCCTTAGTTGTCATTTGGCACCTGTAAACAGTTTGTTTCCCAGGTTTAGGAAAACCAGTGTATCAAATTGAATCATAATTGAAATTGATTTCATAATTGACATTGATTGTACTGTTATAATGTGACAATTAGGTATGGTGTTTAGTATATCATCTCTTAAATTTACTAGCATGCAATACCCATGTAACTCTTATGAAGGGAGCATGTGACTAACACATTCACATGTTTCAGCAGAGTGAATTTTAACTGGCATTTAAAAATCATCTATTATTTCTATAACAATGACAGGAGCATATCAAAATTTAAAATGTATCACTTCTTAAAGATTTTTACTTAAGAGATATTAATCCAACAAAAATATCTTTTCCTAATGGTGAACTTGTTTTTCATATGCCCATCAAACAGACAAGCAAATTTAACAAATGAGCATTGTACTTTTGAATCAGTGTTTGTAGCATGTGCTCATACTTCTAGAGTGAACAACCTCTTAAGAGTTCAAGTCCCTCATCCCTCTCCCATATTGTTTCTTCTAATCCACCATTTTCAGCAGTAACACTGGTGTACCTTAACCCTTTAACTCCCACAAGTGACCAAGAGAGAATTTCTCCATACAATATCAAGCAGACAAGTGATGAGAATAAAGGAAAGTCTTAAAAAGGAGATTATTGATCCAATACCAAATTCTCCAAACTAACATCACAAAACTATATGGCTGACAGTAAGGAGAATTACTAATGATATCTTGAGAGTTAAAGAGTTAACAATACCTTTTCTAACCTCCAGGAATTTAACTCCATGGTTTGATCTTAAATATATAAAACAGCTACTGCAGGTACACTAATATGGCTGCCCTGTTACATGAATGACAAAGATCTAGTGTCAGTTTTGCATGTTTATGGAGACCACAGCTCCTTTACACCATTCCAAATCCCTGACAGTCTTGAATGCAGGTGATCATTTCATTCTTGAACAACTCATACTCCATGTAAATGTTATTTACAGGAAATGTTATAACAGCACAGGTATTTGCTGTCATCTTTCTTCCTACTAGTGCTTCATGAGCAAAGACAATTTTTAGAAGCAGTGCTGAAACCCACTGCAGGGATACTTTTTGCCCTAGTAATGAAGCTTAGAACTCTTCCAAGGGTTAAAAGCAAGTCATTCTTGTCACCAACATAATGAACAAGTCCATACTCTACTTCTTCAAAAAAATGGTTAAAATTTATTAAGATTGCCTCTTCATGGTCTCTGTTGATGTTTCCTACAGGAGAAAGAACAGGTTGAAAAATCTAATCAATCAGTTCTGCACTTAGCAACTTCAGATTGCCTTGTAGTATTCTCTTTGCTTAATTGGGATGTGCACATAAGGGATTGAGAACTCCATGTAACTCCAGACCCTTTATAAACTGATCCAACTCTGCTTGACAGCACGAAACCGCATAGTGAAGAGCCACATATCTTATCAATTCTTCTTTATCTTCAACATTGACAACTAATTTACAATATCCAGCAGAAAATCTCTCTGGGAAATTGAAAGATGCCTCCTGTACAAACATTTCAGGGTTGGTGATTGCTTCAAGTTCTTCTAACTTCTTTCTTACTTCATAATCAAGAACTTCACTTTGTGATGGGTGTACCTGGTTCAAATCTCCAAACAAAATGTATTCTGTTACAGCTCTGAAAAAACTTGAGGACCTGGTGAACCTTGTAGCAATGCCATTGCTACACACTGTCCATACAGATGGTACTCATTCTTCTGAAGAAGAACCATGTTATGAAGAAAATTTTTTTGGCCATCTTCTCGCTGCATCAACTCATTTGATACCATACGGTTTACAGGGCAGAAGAGCTCACACCTTGGTCCACCTTCATTAATTGCAGATTCTCCAACAAGCTGGACCTTCACATGTACATTCAATTCTCTGGCTCTTTGCAAGCTTGATTTGAAGTCCTTCCATGCCCATTTTCTCGTAACTTTCACTCTGAGATACTACTCCTCGTGAAAGCCACTTGCTATCTTTAAAAGTTCCTGTGCAAGATAAATTAAATCCATCAACTTATTAAAACCCAAAAAACATTGATTTTACCTTGATATGATTAAGGCTTGAAATACTTTTCACAAACAGGGTATTTCCTCATCTACTCAAACAAACAAATGGGGAGCAAAAAACTACATGTGCTGAAAAACAACTAAGATCTGCATGTGCATTTTATTTTTAAGTACCTCTTTTAGGATCCCCACATCTATGAGGCTATTTATTTTGGTATTAACGTTGGAACACTTTTTGTCCTCATCAACATCATCATCATCACCATCATGGATATCAGATTTCAAACAAGATGCACACTGATCTTGCAGTTGTTGGACATCAGATGTTGACTTCACTTTGTTCAAGAGAATGTTAGCACATTCATTTATTGATTCCTTTCCTTCTTTCCATACATCAACAATGTCTGAGAGAGGCAAACGTTGGAAAAGATCCCTTAGGTTCTTGAATCTTGGGTTGGAATCCTAGGGATGTTTCTGAGGGAGCAAATAAGTAAATCAAGAAATAAAAATTCTGCAAGTTTTTGGCTTTAGCTATCTTCTCTAGGATGACAGTAAGTATCATGCACTCACTAAGAAGTAGATCTTAACACTTACTGGTCCAGCTGACAGGGATAGCTCCGACTCAAACGTTTATTATTATTTTTTTTTTTGATAATTTTTAAAACAATTTTTAAAAAAATTTAAAACTAAACTAGTGAGCAGCACTGTGCGAACAGTAGTTATAAAACTTCTTTATTCTCTGACGCATTTCGTCTAAGTGTCGTACACTTCTTCAGAGAGTTTTACAAGTTAACACTAAACGTCTATATTTATAAGCCATGACGGCTATTGCGGGGTCAATGACCATAAGGAATTTTAGGCAAGGTGAGAGATGTATTTTGGGAGCCACGGTTTTAGCTGGAAATTTTCAAATTTGAAAAATTGAAGAGGCTTTTTAAAGATGATGCCTGGAAAGCAGTTGGCAAATGAGGTTAAGATGGCTCGTGTACTTTACAGAAAATATGATTTATGTTCTACTCATTCTTTCTTAAATTTAAGTGGTATAAATACCTTG